CAAAGGGGAGACCTGGGCGGAACAGCCTAGGAAATGCACCCTCCACAGAAAAGGACCAATTTCCCACAAAGGGAGAGCCTGAGCTTAGAGGCTGGCCAATCCCCTTGCAGCTCAGGCCCTGCCTCAGTCTCCTGATTTGGGGAGAGGGGCACAATTCTCTTTAGGAAGTCACTGCACATAACTGGGGCAGGTCAGGGAAAAAAGTCAACACTGTTTAACTACCTTATGTCCTCTCTGCCCAAATTCTCTGAAAAAGACCAATCTTTGGAGCGTTTTTCCCCTTTGTCAAGGCTTGAACAAGGAAATACTATCCCCAGATAATAAAGATCCTTCTCAGCCATGAAAGGTGGAAAAAAGGGTGGAGGAAATCCACCCCAAGCTATAAAACACGTTAGGGAGGGAGACAGGGAAAGAAGCGATTAGTTTCAGCAACTTACTTAATTCCTAGTCCATCCTTTTCTCGAAATATCAGAGGAACCCTGAGAGCTTCTCTCTGCACGTACTCATAGTTGAAATCTGTTTGGATGTTGGAATTAAAACAAGTTGGTTAAGTCATGAAGGAGCAAATGAACCACCATCAATTGGTTAGGAGAAGAAAAATGATGGAAGAGGGGGCAAGGGTTATACTAGACACAGGCACCAGCCCTAGGGCAAAAGCTCCCTGAAAAATGACAGGGAAATGGATCAGGCAAAGCCCAAGAGAAGCCATGCCAACTATCAGCTCCTCTGCCTACTCAGTCATTCTCTGCATGCCCCACGGGTCAGAACTTGTCAATGAACAGCCCAAGGCCGGCGAGGGCTGGGGAGGGAGACTCATGAAAGAGCCCCACACAGAAAGAGCCCCAGCTATGGCTGGGAAAGGGGAACAGACAGAGAAACGCATCCCAGGCTGAGCTCAGAAAGTAAAGGGACTGCAAAATTGAAGAATGCCACCTGGGAGGATCTGAAGCCCCAGAGAGGAGGCTGGGAGGAGGGCTCTCATTGTAGTAGAGCATCAGGGAAGATCTTATTGTAATATCCTGCATAGTGAAGAGGAGGGGGGAAAAGCCGGTTTCCCTGGAAACTGTGTATTTGGTGCCAAAATAACTAGGGAACTGGGCACAGCTTTGTTGTCTTAATAGTGAAATTTTGCTGCAGCCATCGCAATACTTGCTTCAACTGGATAACCGAGAGGGGTGCTCCCAGGTGAGGGCTGTGCAAGGAGGGCAGAGTGAGACCCCAAGAAAATTCAGTGTGGTTTTCTGTCTGGGGCTTCTCTAGTGTTGACCCCAAAATCCTTACTGAAAGCTCTAGAGCATGAAGGAGGCCTTAGTTTCTATCCTCCTTGAGTTTCAAAAGCAGGGGATCTGACCCAACCATATCCCTATAAATACAGAGGTGAGGGAGGCTGAGATAATTCTGCACAGCCTGAAATCCTCAGGTAACTGAAGCAATCCGCAAGGGCACAAGCCCTCCCTGGCCGGTCGGAAGGGAGATAGAAGAGATCCCAGGCCGCCGAAGCCCCTGCCCCGGGGAAACAGGGCACCAGGGCAGCTGGGCGGGGGGGAGGCCAACACAACTCAGCTCAGAGGAGAGGGAGAGAACAAAACCAGAGCCGGGGAAAGCCCTGACCTCAGCAGCTCAGATCCCCAGGGGCTCACAGTGAATGGGGATGCCTAAGGATTTAAAGGCAGAGAAGTTTAAGAAGCTTCTATTTTGAATCCAGGCTAAGGGCTCCTTCTGTTTCTCAGCTCCTCCCTCGAGGTTTGGGGCCAGATCTGAATTAACTACCAAAACCCTAGGGCCCTCCTGAAAGGAGCCCAGACCGCAGATTTAAGGAATCTCCCTTGCTGGAACCGCACCCCCCCACACACACACACACCCAAAGCCCACCCCCTGGGTGAGCCTCAACTTCCTCAAATGAGCCTGAGAAACTGCTCTGAGATCCTGGGCAGAGAATTCCTCACAAATGACTAGGAAAAGTTTGCATATTGTTTTCTCATGGGCTCTGTGTAAAAGGGGGGAAGAAAGGAGAGGAATTAAAACCTCATTTACGCTAAGGAAATTCAAATGCAGTAGCCCCCTGGACTGTCCGCCTCTGTGTGCAATGCTCTTAAGACCTGGCAGGCTAGAAGAAATTTCTTCTTCCCTCCCCCCACAACTACCCCCTAGCACGGAAGCCCAGCGCCCCAGGAAGCAATGGGCACAAAAGAGAAACTTCAAAAATGCAAAGCCAGGACCGTCTCTTCTAGGGCAACTCCACAGCCCCCACCACTCAACCGGAACCTGGAGGCGGGAGTCCCTGTTGTCAGCTCACTGAGGGATGGAAGGGTTTTCCCAAGGGGATGGCGGATAAACAAAATGGAAAAAAGAGTAATATAAAGCAAACTCGAATATCTGAAAGGAAAAAAATGAATTTACAAACCCCAGGACGGCCCAGGGAGATGCCTAGGTGGGCAGGAGCATCTTCTAAATTCCAAGCCCACAGGCGTACCAGGGCCTCGCGGCACTTCTAGAGGCCTCAGACCCAAGCCAGAGCGTCACCTGGACGATACTCCCAGACACCTTCCTAGTACCAAGGTCAGGGAGAAATTCAGATCCCGAAGGTATCAGGCTGGGGTGGCACCCCAAAACCCAAGAGGCTTCCCCAACTTCTGCTCTAAAGTGGCAGGGCCCACAAGAGGAAAAGAACTCGCAAGGTCTCAGGCCTGGGAAGAGACTCTGTTTCCCAGGGGGAGGGTCCCAAGTCTTCAAACTGCCAGGGGACAGGGATCTCAGCCTTAAGCCTAAGGAGGACAATACCCCACCCACAGTCCCGGCTTCGAACTGTCAGGGCTGCCCGGCTGAGGCCTCAGGCTTAAGTAGAGGCTCCGGCCAACAACTGGGAGCTCATCCAGCCCCTGCCCCAATCCGGCCGAGCCCACGAGGTGATGGGGTTCAGGAGACCCCAGGCCTGAGGAGGCATCACTCAGTGGCTCGGGGCGTCCCCAGCGCCAGTTCCTAACTGGCAGGGCCCAAAATGGCATGGGGTTTTGGGAAGCTTCGGGCCTGGGGGGACCCTCACCTCAATGCCCCAGGGGCGCCCAGCGCCTCTCCGGCCAGGTGACCGCACCTCTCGCAGCGCAAGGAGCTGGGCCGGCTCCGGGTGGGGTAGAATGCGCCGCACCCGCCCTCCCTCCATCCGCTCGTCTGTCCTCAGGTCCCTCTGTCCCCCTGCCCCCTGGCTCTGCCCACCCTGAGGCTGGTGGTGGGCGCGGACCCGGCCTAGGCCCACGGCCGGCCCCGGTTCCCGCCTGCCCTCCTCCCTCGCCACCCCACCCCACCCCCCCAGTGCTCGGCCTCGTTTCGTCACCGGATCCCCTGGAATGGGGGACGCGGGCGCGAAATACGAACCCAGCCACCGGCAGCTCCCTCCCCACGTGCGCTTGGCCCGCGGCACGGAGGGCGGCCCGAGGAGGGGGCGCCTCACCTTTGCCCTCCATGGCGTGCACGAAGTCCCCCTGGTACAGCTGGCTGCGCAGCTTCTCCTCCAGGCTGAAGCCGCGGACGCTGACGATTTCCTCCACGTCCGACAAGTCCTCGTTCTCGTCGTATCTCTGGCGGTCAATCGGGCGCTGCGAGGACCCAAACCAGAGACCCCCGGACATTACTGGGGGAACTGGGGGTCGCCTCTCACCCTGGGCCCAGTTCGAACAGGTGCAGGAGCCGCGCGCCCCCTGCACCCCACCATTGCGACCCGACCAACTTTGCGCAAATGCCAAAGATGCTGAAAATCAAGATAACGAGAGGGGCCCGCACCTCCAGGATCCGGCTGCGCCCTATACAGGGCACTCCTCTCCTACATCTTTGGAGGCCATGGAAGGGACGTCTGGGGGCTCTCCCTTGCCCCCCACCCCGAAGAGGTGTTGAGTTTTGCCTACTCGGCCGGGAGCCTGGTTATGTAACCCGCGAAGGGGGCTCCGCGCACGGGCTGGCGGGGCATTTGTAGGCCCCGGGAGGAGCCGCCGCAGCGCCCGGGCTCGGCGCTAACAGCAGCCCAGGCGGCAGCGGCGGCAGAGCCGGGAAGCCGGAACCCGGGGCCGGCGGCATTTCTAAGACTGGAGCCGCCCCCGAGCTACCAGGGAAGCTGGAAAGCTGAAATGGAAGGGCTGAGACCCCAGCCGCCCCCGCCGACCGCCCGCCAGTGCAGGAAGAAGGAGGGGTGGGGGGGTTCGGGGCTTGAGAGGGAGAGAGGCAGACAGCCCGCCACAAAGCTCCCATCGGAGACCCCAAAACGCACCAGCAGCTGCCTCATCTCCCCACAAGCGCGCGCGCACACTCACTTCCTAAGGAGACTCCCCCACCACTCCCCGCATCCCCTGCCTCCTCCCTCCACCGCCCAGAGCCCGGCCCCGCAGCCCCCCAGATTCCGGGCGAACCCCGAGCCCACTCAGCCCCCCCACACGCCTTTCCCCGCTACTACCTCCCCACTTAAGTGTCTGAGACTCTGAGCCTCACAAGGGACTGGAGGAGTAAGCTGCTTGCTTCCTTTTGCATGCAATTTATTATATTTTTTTCCGGTCCTCTTGCAAAATACAGAAAAGGAAAGAAAAGGCAGCGAGAAACAACAAAAAAAAATAGATCTATCATAAACCAGATACAGATTTGGAAAAAAAAAAAAAAGCTACACACCAATCTTCTTCCAGAGTCTTTCTCTGCCTCCATTTTTTTAGGAGAGTTCACCAATTAATTGTCAACACTCCTGCCCCCTGCATTTTGGCGGAGGGGGGAAGGAGGGAAGACCAAAGAAAACAAACCAAAAAATAAATAAATAAAGCAAGCCAGAGCCGAGATCTACAAAGTTTTGCACCAACACTTAAGCAGATCCGTTTGCAAAGTCCTAGGAAACCATTTTCAGCAGTTGTGGGGGGGGAGGCGTCGACGTCATAATCCCCGGAACGTAAACATTGTTGCCGATCGCGCTCTGAGCCCGCGGCCCGGCTAGGTGGGGGGGGCACTCGGCCCGGGATGGGGGGGCGGGGGCGGCGGCCCGAGGAGGTGTGGGGCGGGGAGGGCGCCCGGGAGGCACCGGGCGCCGTTAGCGCCCTGGCATCGCTGTTTTGTTGTTGGGTCACGAGTGCGCCTCTGCACGCAGGCGCCGCCGCCGCCCGGGAGTTGTGTGCAGAGCTGACTTTTGGAGGGCTGAGTTGCAGGCGGCGGGCGCATCCCGGAGATGGCGGGGCAGGGAGGGAGGGAAGGAGGAGGGGTTCGGGAAGGAGGTGCAGATTTGCACGGCTGGCCTCAGCGGGAGGCGCGGAAATGCAAGCCGAGCTCGCTGGCGTGAAAGCCCCCGGGGCCTGGAACCCCCAAAAACGACCCCCCACCTTAATCCCCGTCCCCATTTGCCCAAGGCCCCCACGGGCTACCCCTCTTCCTCTTCCCTCATCCACCCCACCCTATTACCTACGTGGCCGACCCAAATTCAAAACATTTTGTATATATAATTTTTCTTTTTTTGCTTTGCTGCTGCATGTGGTTTTTAGGGGGCTGGGGACGATCCTCCCCAGACCCCCAGGTGCGGACCTGCCATATGGAGAAGGCATCTGGGGACTCAGGAAGAAATTAGCGCAGCTCCATACCTGTACGGACTGCACAGCTTTTAAACTCCGGGACTCAAAGATATGGACCCCCCACATACACACACAGGTACAGGAAATACAGCCAGACCAGAGCCTTTTCAGACCCGAGCTGACCGGAAGACGTTGCCTTTCATTCATTCATTCTGCCCGCGTCTGTGGAGTCCTTTACTAGGCGACGAGCCCTGGAACAGAAATTGGACATTTTTTAAAGGTCCCTGCGCTCGCCAAGAGGAGGAAATAGATGCTCAGGAGTGAACTACCGAGAGAATCGGATCTGGCGCCTCCTAACGCAGCTGGCAAACAGGAGGAGGGTAAGCCCTTATTGGCCGTTTATAGGAGAAAAGTCGGTGGAAAGGTGCAAGGCGCTCTGGGATGGGGCGCGGGGAATTTTGGGCGCCCTTGGTTAATCCTATAGAGCTTCTTGGCGGAGGTATTGGCATCCTCTGTACACATATGAAGTATCGTTAGATCTGAGTGTGCTTCCGTGTCCACATAACTAGTTCGCTGTGACCACCCCCAAAACTGGAGTCCTAAATGAGTTGTCCTGTAATTCCATCCTGAACAACAGCCAAATCGACTTTGGTTGTGAGAAAAGCTGGCCTTAAACATTCCTCCAGCCCATGTAGGCCTGATCTCGGGGGTAAAGATCACGCTGCGCTGACATGGCAGCAGGGCTTCCCGAAGGATTGTGGTGGATGCTCGCAGCAGGCTTTGCCAAAGTAATTCCCATGCTTGTATTTTTGTTTCTCCCATTAACCCTGTGGGATAGTTGGAGCAGGTCATTTTGCAGATGGGGAAACCGAGGCCTGGAGAAGTTATGAATCTGGATGATTGCTCTGCCCTCATATCGTCCCCATGTCAACACAGCGATCAGAAATGTGGGGAGGAAGTGGCTTCCCCAGCAGAGATCAGATGTAAAACATCAGCTCCATATTGGTCACCCTGAGAGACGGCTTCCCCCCCGCTCACCTTAAAGTTTCCTGTCCCGTCTTTCTGTATTCCTTCCCCCACCCCACGCACCCAAAGACTACTCTTTGAAGTTTGTTTTAATCTAAGTCTACTAGCTGTAAAAAAATTTTTAAGTAGGGATGAGGCAGGCAAACATCAAAATTGTGTTCCCAAATTGAAATTGCCCTCGTGGGCTCAGTGGGAGTGAGAAGAGTTTTGCCTTCAGCCTCTGTCAAGAACCAGGGACCATTTTACTCGCTTCTCTCTTTCTCACAAGAACCCTTGAAGGGAAATAGTCTTGTTATTACTCATTTTGCAAATGAGGAAACTGGGACTCAGAAAGGCAAAGCCACTCACCCAAGATCACACAGATTGTAAGTGGGGCTGCTGGGGCTCAAACTGGAGCCTGGCTCTGTTATCACATGCTTTTTGGATATTGACCACCTTCACTGCTCCCACATAATGAAATAAATGTGTTCAAAGGAGGGCTTGTGGGCTGGAGCATCTTGAAAAATGAGTAAAGTGGAATAAGCAAAACTGTGAAATAGCACGCTTGGTCTTAATTCTCCTTTCCTCCCAAAGACCCTTCTTTTTCCCCATGTGGCCTCATGGTGTCCCCAAAAGCTGGTGTCAGGAAAAGATCCCATGGCAGGCACCTTAGTGTAAAAACAGCTAAGTCCATATATCACCCGGATGGGGAGTTCCTGGCCTGTCAGAGTGGGAAGGGGTTGAGTAGTCACCTAATTTAATCCCTCCCTTTACAAACCGTGAGGAAACCACAGACCAGAGAGAAGAATGGGCCAGCCGGGGGTTTATTCCCCTTTGACTCCCCCAGAATGCCTACCCTGCCGCCTGGTCCTAAGTGGTCACTCAATAAATGTTGGGCCCTTGATGGATCACCTTCCCCAGCGATATTTGCATTTTCCCTTTATCAGTAATTGGCAGATGAAAGGCTTTGTCCTCTGTTGAAAGAATTTCAGGCATTTGCTCAAAGTGGGGGAGGAGGTTATTTTGGGCCAAAGGGGGAAGGGCCAAGACCCTTAAGCTCCCAGTGTTGGCTAATTGTCCCAGAGGAACAGACGGTAGAGGAGAGAGGGGAGGGAAGCTTAAGGTGCTTCTCCAAGAGAGGTATTTTTTCTTGCAAAAAAGACCAGGCCAGTTGTATTTGAAACATAATAATAATGACTTCCTGGACCCTCCTTCTCATTCTTAGAACAGGCCCAGTCAAATCCTGGCTGTGTTGGCCCCATTCATTCATTTCTTAATTTATCAAAAGTTGATTGAGCAGCTAGCTCTGTGCTCTAAGACCAAGAGGATACAAGAACCAGCTCGGATTGTACTCCAGGCAGGGCAGGGAGTGGACAGACCAACCGCTTCCCAAGGGAGTTAGGAAGGGCTGATTCTGGATGGAACCCCAGAGTCCAGAATCCAAGATTTTTGAACTGTTAGAAACTGAATCTCTTATCTGATTCATATATAATTATAATAGCTCCTCATTTTTGAGAGCTAACTGTGTCTTCGAGCAAAACCACTCACGTTTGCTGTCTCTGTGAATCCTCATCAAGGCACTATGAGGGAGGGTCTGTAACTCCCCACTTTTATAGCTGAGGCTCAAAGAGCGGTCAAGTTACTTGCTCAAATTTTACAGCTGTGAAATAGCAGAGACAGGATTTGAACCCAGGGCTTGTAGGTATCTTGAGCCTGCAGGCTTGACCACTAGGCCTCCCCACAGGGCTGTCCCATAGAACGTGGTAGAAATGTTCTATGTCTTCACTGTCCAATACAGTAGCAGCCTCTAGCCGCATGTGGCTATTAAGCGCTTGAAATGTGGGTAGTGGGATTAAGGAACTGAATGTTAAATTATATTTAATTTTAATTAAATTTAAATAACTATATGTAGCTAGTGTCTATCTTTTTGGACAGCGCAACCTTAGAGTGTTTTCCAGAATTTGTCTTAACTCACCTACCAGGCTGTGTATACATCACAGTCTGATTTGGCACTGAGTCCCTATAATCAACCTTCTGGAAACATTTGTGGAATGAACGAAGGGTCCTAGAGAAAATGAAGTATTGGAATGATGAGGTGGGGGAAGGGGGCCAGAGATATCTGCAAAGGTTTCCAAGAAGGGGCCATCTGGAACAGTGTGAATGTCTGAAGTGTTAGCCCTTAAACCACTCGCTCTGAGAGTGCCTGCCAAGAGCTTGGCACTGTAGGCACCTGGGGATGCCAGTCGGGTATGGATTGTCCCACCTGCCCATATCTGACCATAAACTTCTCAAGGACAGATCATTGGCCATCGGGCAGGAAGCCTGAGAAATGGATGACCACTTCCTGACATATATCCTACTGATCAACTCAAACACAAAGATGCAATCCATTGTAGCTCGGTTTGCAATAGAGAAAGACTGAAAATCAATCTAAAAGTTGGGAAACTGATTAAATAATTCTTGGACCATTTGTCTGCTCAATGAAATGCTATTATCAAATCACTAAAAAGAGTTAGGGAGCTCTATATATACTCATGTGGAATGATTTCCACTTATGTAAACCAAAGGGGATATATCTCCATCTACTATATTCTTCTATATACGCAGAATTTTCTTTCTTTGGAAAACAAAAAAAATGAGGAGAAGAGAAGAAAACCTATTGTTTGGTACAAGGTGAAATTTTTGCCACATGTATGCATTCATGTTGCCTGATTTGGAACCTTATAGACCTAATTTCATTTTATATGCTATGGTACCTTTTGAATCTGTACTATGTACGTGTATTACCTACTCAAATATGAATTTCATTTGAGTCATCTTTTTTGAGCTTTTAAGGTTCAAAATCAGGCAAATCTAAATCAAATATTGTTCAGGTATAGATACATAAGTGGTAAATAAAAACAAGAGAGCGATTAACACAAAATACAAGAAAAGACTTAACTGGAGGACAGGGGAGGGGAACAGCGAGAGGTACGGTGCTTTTCTGATTCTGGACCTAGATGGTGGGCACCTGAGTGTAATTCTTTAAAGCGTCCTTAAATAGTTTACAGAGTCCATCGTCCTGATGAAATATGCCACAATTTTAAAATTGTTTTAAAATCGCGTTGTCTTTCTCCCCCATCCCCACCCACCCAGTTTCTCCCTTCCACACTCCCATCCCCAGAAAACGTGCTAACCAGTCTCTTGGGTATCCTGCCAGAAACAGTTTATGTATTTGCAAACGTCTACATATTTCCTTTTCTCACTGTGTCATACAAGTATACACACCGTTCTACCTCTTCTTTTTTAACTTAATATGAACTTGGAGCTCTTTCCATATACTTTCCGTAGAACTGCCTCATTCTAAAATATTATTTAAAGATGACGTAAATCTGAATGTTGTGAGGCAGGAAAAGTTCAAGATTGCTTAAGAAACAAAAAGGAGTTCACAGAAATGTATATATTATGATCCCATTTATGCTGAACTTTATACAGGTCATGTTGTATAGATATGCCCCCAGAACGCTGGAACGGAGCAGCACACTGCTGTTGGATCACTTCTGAGGGGGGCAGAACATTTTGAGGGGGTTATATAGAGACTATATTTATATATTATTTGCATTTTTAACAACCATTGTGCCCTTTTAAATTTATCAAATATTTCAAACATAGAGGCATAGAAAATAAATATAACGAAGAAACATAGCAAGGACTTTGTATCCAGTACCTAGCTTTGCCAAACCCCAGAGTTTTGCCATATTTTGTATTACTTTTGCAATTAAAAAAATTCTTTGGGGGACAGCAGACCACACTATTGCTGTTAAAGTGATTGCTCTTCCCCATGACCTTTTCCTTTTTTTTCACTCCTCAGTCCCTTGGAGATTGAAGCATCAGAGTGAGAAAGAGCAGAGTCACATACAGCCTGACACTGGCTTTGGTCATGTGGGGAAGACTTCAGTTTCTATCCAGAGTTCTGCATTTTCTAATGTCCTCTTCCTGTGGGAGGATTGGAAGGAAACTTGGAAATAACAGGTGAGTTAATTAAGGGGTTAATGCCAGGAAGAGAGTCATAAAAGTTCAAAGATACTTTCAAAACTTGCATCTTTGGATTGATGGACAAGTGTGTGAACCAATGGAAATCAAAATCCAAGCATTACTTCATCATGCAAAATTGTCATTGGTTGCCAAGCCCCAAGGGCCGGACAGCAGGGCTGGCAGTTAACCCTTTCAGGGACAATCATGCCCTTTATATTAATTTTCTTTTGAAAGATGAAGTAGGAACAGACAAAAAGCCTAGAAAGGTCCCCAGACCTTGAAGTGCCACCTTTGGATCTCAGCCCAGAAGGCAGAGTTTCACCCGTCAAAAGAACACCAGGGGACAAATTTCCTGGAGAAAAGTTTTGAACTTTTCAAATGGGGGATCAGCTGCCCTTGCTTAGTAAGAGGAGAGGGGAGGAGAGAAGTCGGCTTTACTTTCTGTACCGTCAGAACAGAGACCAGCGTAGGAGACTATCCCATTAATCTTGCAGAGCCATCAGTCACCAAGAGGATTGAATTGCATTTCCTGCCCAAAGATGTAGACACAGATGACCTTTGCAGCAGCCCTCAGACCCCCAGTTCACAGCTGGAGAGAGGATGTGTCAGCATTTACTTTCGGGTCTCACCCTGCCTTTTGTTCAAAAATTCAGACTCTTTGTGTTCAGGCTGCTGCAGGGGTTTTGTAGCTGTTGATGCTGCTGATTTTTTTTTAACCTCCCACGACTTGCAACTTCTGAGAAACAAACTATTTGGCAGAAGATAATATCTGGAGGTGCCCCAGAGAGGGAACCAGAATAGATACGGGACAATTTTAAGAGAGGCCATTGGGCCTTTGGGCTTTCCCTATTGCCCCTTCCTGGGTTCCCTGAATGCTGCAGGCTCAACTGGATGGAGCCAAAAGTCCAGCAAAAGGAATAATCATGCCTTATGTTTACATGGCTCTATTACAAAAAAGCTTTTACATGCATTACCTCATGTGAAAGGAACGGCTAGAACAGACGCATTTACATACAGGAACATTCTAAATTCCCAAATATAGTGAGCTACGTGACGTTGGACAAGGTGCCCAAACTGAGCCTCAGCTATCCCATCTGTAAAGTAGGGGCCATAATATCAAACATGTAAGAGTGATGTGAGGACCGACCAAGCCAATGTGCTACAACAGGGCGGTTGGTAAATGGTGTGTCTTCATTCAAACGAAGTTGACCTCGTGGACTTCATAACCCTAACTAGTTGTGGTTTGGGGAAATGTAGTTTTCCCCCAAGGGGAAGGCTGCCTAAGATGGGTGGAAGAGCTCTGCTTTTCTCTCCCACATCCTTTGTCTCCCCACCCAGTCTCCTTCAAAGTCTGAACACGCTCAACTATTTTGAGTTCTTTGAATAAACCTGCTTTCTCTCCCCTATGCCTTTGCATATGCTGATCCCTTCACCCAGAGCACCCTTTCTGTATCTCTTACTTATCCTCCTGGAATCGCTTAGATATCTTCTCTTTCCTGCCCCCCTCCTAATGCTGATCACATTGCCTCGCTGTGGCCTCTGCTCTCACCAAACTGTGAGCCCTGGGAGGGCAGGAACCCTGCTGTCTCATTCATTGATTTGCATCCTACCTAGCACAGGGCCAGCGACCTGCTCCAAGAGTATGTGTAGAGTGGAAGCCCAGCACCCCAACCGTGCCTCCCCCAGTCCCCAAATTCCTCACCCGTCCGGAAATCTAGGAATAACAGTGCTGAGATTTTTCTCTTTTCCTGGCTAGCCATATTATAGCACCCTTTGCAGATGGAGCCCGTGACTTTTTAACCCTCCTTGGAATGACATTAATTCACCAGTTATTTATTGAGTGCCTCCTAGATTCATACACAGAGCGGCCTTTCTAGGAAACCCTCCTCTTCACTCCGCAGCAGCTATTCACGGCAAAGGACAGGCCTTTTGCCCTGGGGAGGCTAAGATGTTCTGAAATGCGAAGGGCAGTTGGCTCTGATTCCCAGCCTGGAGAGAGAAATCTCTGAGATCGCCCCTTGAGAGCAGGTGAGTTTGTCCAACCCTAGCACAAAACCCTTTCTCATTCAGAACACTTCTCAGAATTATAATAAAATCCTCATGTGTTAACAGTCTAATGTCTGTCTCTCTCATTAAAAGGAAAAGTCCCTGAAAGACTGACCTTGGGCTTGTTCACTGCTTATCCTCAGCCCCTGAGGGCCTGGTTCATAAAATATACTCAACGAATGTTGAATGAATTCCTCAAACACCAAAATATGTCTATTTTCAGCTTGAAAAACAAACCTTAAAATGTACCTCTTTGAAGAAGACACAAAGGTTCTAAGAGGCCCTCTTGAAGTGCAACAGACAAGGTGGTGTGCCTGCGGGAGGGGGTGCTCTACACCTTTCTAGCTCCGAAGCCCAGGCTCTCCTTCCCTGTATTCCAGACTGCGTCTCCGCCTCCCCTTCACGAGGCCGCCTGGGAACAGGGGACCAGCTGTCATCGCCCTCAGCTGAGGCCTGCAAACGTGCACTCCGCGTCATGGCCCCAGACCCCCCTGTCTGGGAGGCCCCTCAAGCTGGCGATGCTGTGTTGGGGGAAGGGGAGGCCAATATTTGCAAGCGAGTGTGGCTTCCCCAAGGCAGGGTCAGGACTAATCGCTCCGTCGCCAGCCTCTTTCAGGCTCCCTACTTGATGGCCTGGAGGCTGGAGACCGGAGGGTGGAAGGGGGCGGGGTGCAGAGCCAGCTGTGGGGGCAGGGCAGGGACTGGTGGGCCTCAGAGTCACCAACAGTCCCGGAATGACCTAGGCGGCTTGCCTCTTCTGCTCCTGATCTCCGTAATCGATTCGTCAGCCTGAACTGTGACTCCAGCCTCAGCATCCGCATCTCCCCTAGGCGATCACTCTTAATGTCTGCCCTGGGCAGGGTATCAACACATCAGTACTGCATTGTGAGTCCTCTGCTCACCTGGGTCAATTTACTCCCCTGCCAGATGTTAAGTTCTTGGAGAAAGTTTGATTTCCTTTTGAGTTCACCAAAATTCTAGGCGCTGGGTAGAGGCACAGCAAAAAGCGATTGGCAGGATGGGGTCGTCAGTCCTTCCGGAGTCCTGACTTCTCAGCCTATGAGCAGTGTGGGGAGTGACTTCACCTCTCTGAATCTCATTATTATTTGTACAATGGGAAAACCAGATTGTTGGGAGGATGAAATGAGGTCACTGAAACCCCAGTCTTCACACTCCATGTTTCTCTCTTCTGCTTTCATTTTCACTGATCACCATCTATCATGTATTTCACTTATTTGTTTTGGTTATTTTTTTCTCCTCCTATAAGGTGTTTTGTCCACCTCTGTACCTCTAGCCCCTCAAACAGAGCTTGACACATAGTAGGTTCTCAGTACATATTTGTCAAATAGATTAATGGATGAATGTAAAGTGATTAGTATTTGATAAGCACCAAATAAAGGTAAATTTTTTTTAAAGATTTTATTTTTTCCTTTTTCTCCCCAAAGCCCCCAGGTACATAGTTGTATATTTTTAGTTGTGGGTCCTTCTAGCTGTGGCATGTGGGACGCCGCCTCAGCATGGCCTGATGAGTGGTGCCATGTCCACACCCAGGATCCAAACCGGTGAAACCCTGGGCCACCAAAGTGGAGCACGTGAACTTAACCACTCGGCCACGGGGCTGGCCCCCAAGGTAAATATCATTGATTACCATTGTGATTAAGAACTCAGTCTCTAGAATCTAACTGAAAACAGTGCAACTGGGTCAGGAGAAATTTAGCGTCATGATAGGAGGTTGGGAGCTCTGGCTGAGAAATCCCATCCTGTCTGCACTGTTCACAAACTGTGGGACCTGGACTGAGTGACTTCACCTTTCTGCAGCTGTAAGGTGGAGGTAATAACAGTACCTCCCTGGTAGGGTGCGATGATAGGAGGAGATGGGAAATGTAAAGCTCTTAGTAGAATGCTGGGCACATAATAATTGCTCAGTAAACAATGACCATCATTACTCATTCCACTAATAGTAATACTCAGGCTAGAGGTGACTTCTGAATCAAACAGTTGCTAAGCACTTAAAATATGTCAGGGTCCAGCGAGCTCAATATTAATTGACCTTTATCTGTGAGTTTCTCAAGGAAAGGGATTGTGTTTATATTGTCATGATCTTGGCCACCAGCAGATGCTAATTAATGTTAAAACATGCTGGAAAAATTACACACTGAACTCGAATATGAGCGACAACATAGACCAGCTATTAGATCAATAAAAACAATTGCCTACTATGTGCCAGACACCAATGTTGGGCGCTGAAGATATGGTGGTGAGCTTAAACAAACATGGTGGTTACTGCTTTCAGGCTAGTGAAACTTGGGACAGTTGACATGCTTTGTACCAGTAGTTGCACAGAGAGATGGTACATTGCAACTGATGACATTGCAACTGATCACAACGGAGAGGTAAATGGGGCTATGAGGTCTTATGTGGGTGGGTGTGGAGGGGTCGACCTGATCTGGGGTTGAGGAAGTCAAGGGAGCTGTTCCAAGTAGGGTAGAGAGCTGAGCTCTGAGGAGAGAGGAGGCCTTAGCCAGGCTGGTGTGGGGGAAGTGTTCTCAGCAGAAAAAACAGCAGATGCAAAGCCTCCGTGATGCGGGAGCACGTGCTAAGGGAGCTGAAAGAAGGCCCCTATGATCTGAAATGGGGAGATGAGGGTGGGGGTAGAGAGGAAATGAACCTGAAAAATAAGTAGGCACTTGGGGAACTAATTGGGCAATATTTAGTAAAGCTGAAGGAGCGTGTAACCTATGATCCAGCAGTTCAGCTGCTAGGAACATTCTAGAGAAACAGACACAAGTGCACCAGGAGGTGTGAACGAGGATGTTAGCCCCAGCCACAGTCTGTGCCGTCTCAAAAAACTTGAAACGACTCAAATGTTCATTAACGGGAGAGCAGACAAATTGCAAAATGTGTCTCTCTTGGGTTCCTCAAAAAGCAGAGCCTGAATCAAAAATTTGTGCGGTACTAATTTATTGGGGAGTACAGTCTCAAGGAAGCAGGAGTGAGGAAAAGAGGGAATGGGGCAGGGACAGAGGTTCAGTGAATATGAGGGTACCAAAGAGAGGCCACATTTACCATGCCATCTTAGGACAGTTCTAGGCAGAGGAAGAAAAGAGAACAATTATCTATGGCACCTGGTCAAAGCTTTGCCCCACAGGGTATAAACTCCCTCCTACTTCAGGACTACCCACATGTGAGCACCTAGGAGGCCCCTCAATGTTGTGTACCTCAGCCACACAGAGAAGCCCCAGCTGGAGGCCAGTTGGTCAGAGCCCACGAAGAACCAGTCACCATAGTAACAGTCAGGATGGAACAAGTGACCAAGGGAGAGTACCCGAGAAGAGAAGGCTGAGAGGATCTGAAGAGGCCCACAATATCTACATTGTAAAGCAGAATACTATACAGTGGTGAAAAAGAATGACCTATAGCTCCATGCATCCACATGGATGACTGACCAAAAAATGTTGAGCTGAAAGGCAAGTCACAGAAGCAGGCACACAGTAAAGTTAGAGTGCAAAAACAGGCCAAAGCAAACAGTTATATACATAGAAAAGCAATGGAACAGTAAGGGATAAATCTAAAACCAAAGCCAATAGTTACTTCTGGGGGATTAGAAGGAGAGATTGGGATGAGGCCATGGAGAATTTCAAAGAAAGATGCTGATAATGTTGGGGGTTTTGTTGTTGCTGTTCTTTTTTTCAAATATGGAACACTTCACAACTTCAGCTGTCATCCTTGCTCAGGGGCCAAGCTAACCTCTGTGTCATTCCAATTTTATTATATGTACTGCTGAAGCAAGCACTGTTTGTTTTTTAAATTGTGGCAAGATGTATATCACATAGGATTTATCATTTTAACCATTTTTAAGTGTCCAGCTCGGTGGCATTAAGCACATTCACACTGTTGTGCAACCATCATCTCTAGAACTTTTTCATCATCCCTTAGTCAGCTTGGGCAACTATAACAAAATACCATAGACTGGGTGGCTTAAAGAACAGACATTTATTTCTCACAGTTATGGAGGCTAGAAGTCCAAGATCAAGATGCCAGCAGATTCAGTTGCTAGTAAGGGCCCACTCCTTGGTTTGTAGACAGCCACTCTCTCCCTGTGTGCTCACACGGCCTCTCCTGGGTGTGTGTGCATGGAGCGAGAGATCTCTCTCTTCCTCTTCTTACAAGGGCACTAATCCCGTTGTGAGGGTCCCACTCTCGTGACCTAATCTAAACCTAATTACCTCCCAAAGGCTCCACCTCCAAATACCATGACATTGGGGGTTAGGACTTCAAGTTTTAATTTTGGGGGGACACAAACATTCAGCCCATAACAATCTCAAACAGAAACTCTGTACCCATTAAAAAATAACTCCCCGAAATTCCCCCTCCACACAGCCCCTGGCAACCACCAGTCTATTTTCTGTTTCTGTGAATTTAACTATTCCAGGTATTTCATATGAGAGCAATCAAACCATATTTGTCCTTTTGTGTCTGACTTATTTTACTTAGCATAATGTCTTCAAGTTTCATCCGTATTGTAGCAGATGTCAGAAATTTCTTCCTTTTTTAGGCTAAATAATATTCCATGGTATGTGTGTAGCACATTTGTTTATCCATTATCTGCTGATGGACATTTGGGTTGTTTCTACCTTTTGGCTATTGTGAATAATGCCACTATGAAACTGGCAAAATTTTGTTTTGTAAATTGGTAATGATAATAATATATTATTATTTTTTAAACCATATACATGTTATATATATATATATGATATACACATGTGTGTGTTTATTTCCTGCTTTTCAAGCTTAGGACTGCATAATATTTTTTGTTTTTATACTTGCTCATGTTGGCACAATCTTTATTACTTTGCATGACAGTAAATAACTCCAAAAAGTAATTTAATGACTAACTTTTACTATGACAAACTCTATATTAACCATTTCATACCAAAATAATGGGCCATTATTAAAATTATCTTTATAAATGTTCTAAATGAATTGATCATTAAATATGAGACCCCAATAAAAGATAATGAGTAAATGAGTCAATTTTTTAATTATTAAAAAGCAAGGGAGGATGGTGGTGATGGTTGCCTAACAGTGTGAATGCATTTAATGCCACAGAACTGTACACTTTAAAATGGTTAAAATGGTAGATTTTATGTTATGTATATTTTACCACAATTTACAAAAAAGGAGAAGGAGGATGAGGAGGAAGAAGAGAGAAGGAAAGTGTCAGATCAGACAAAGCCTTGTGACTACAGTGAGGGTTTGAGTCTTTAACAATCTCCATGCATCGCCTGAATTTTTACAAGAATAGATTATATAGAAGTCCAGGCAAGGGGTTACACCAAGGAGGGAGAATCAAATCCTCCACTTATAGCTGGAAAAGTCAGGCCAAATGGGAGGGTGGGCAGCGTGTCAGAGGCTCCCAGCTCCCTGCCAGCAGCATCTGCGTTAGGGCCAAGCCACTGCCCTCTTGCCTGGTGTATGAGCGAAGGAACCACTGCCAGTGGGAGAGGCCGAAGTAATCAGACAACAGGCACTGACCGAGCACATGCTACAGGCAAGGTCCTTCCTGGGCGCCCAGGGGATGGACAGGCAGGTGAGTGAGGAGCGAGTCTACCTGACCTTCAAAGAGCTGGTTCCCAGGTAAGAAGATAAGGCTCTGGGAAAGGTACCTGGCAGTACGAAGTGATAAGGGGAACCCTCTGCACTCTGAACACACCCACATTATAGCCTTATCGTTGTGTGTTGCAGTCATTTATTTACAGCCTATTTTGGCAGGAAGACTGGGGGCTCCTTGAGGGCATTCATTCATTCAGGCATTTATTGAACTACTCTGACCCAGGCGCTGATTTGGGACACCTGGTGTGTAGTAGATGCTTGATAAATGTACATTACCTAGCATTCAGTAGGCACTCAATAAATGCTCCTTAAATTGAATAAATAACACATGAATAAATAACAGACCTGGCACACAGTAGGTGTTCAATATGGTGAATTACATAAAGGAAGGACTAGCACAGGGCCTGGCATACAGGAAGCACTCATTAAATGTTGCACCCTCCTGCCTTTGTGACCTACCTCCATGCTGAGTCTGAATCCTGGTCACTGAAGCCCAGAGACCAAATTGGACGTCCAGACCATCATCCATCCATCCACCCACTCAACAAGCATTTCTCAAGGGTCTACTGTGTCTCCCAGGGATCTGCCAGTCCTGGGGATGCAGCAGTGAGCACAGCAAGGAATATTTTTTCTCTCTCATTTGCTCACGTTCTAGTGGGGGAGAAAAACAATAATAAATAAGGAAACAAATTTTAAAAAAGCAGCTACGGGGCCAGCCTGGTGACATAACGGTTAAGTTTGCACACTCTGCTTCAGCAGCCCAGGGTTCGCCAGTTCAGATCCTGGGCACAGACCTACACATCACTCATCAAGACATGCTGTGGCAGAGTCCCACATAGAAGAACTAGGATGACCTACAACAAGGATATACAACTATGTGCTGGGGGGCTTCGAGGAAGAGAAAAAAAAAGAGGAAGATTGGCCACAGATGGTAGCTCAGGGCCAATCTTCCTGAAAAATAAATAAATAAATAAAATTTATTTTTGAAAAAACAAAAAGCAGGTGACAATAAGTGCTTATGTTGACATTAAGTAACCCAGATGATATGAAAGACTGCAGGGATGGTGAGTGAGATGGATTACTCAGGGAAAGACCTCTGAGAAGGTGACATTTGAGCTAAAGTCTAAAAGGGAAGAACTGGTGAGCCATGTGATGATCTGGGGAAAGAGCACTCAGGCAGAGGGAGCAGCATGAGCAGAGGCCTTGAGGCAAGAATGGACTTGGCCGGTGGGAAGAACAGTGAGAAGCAAGCGGGCTCCTATGCTAAGGGGAGGGCGGGAAAGCATGGGGTTGGAGAGATGGGAAGGGCTAGGTCAAATAAGGCACTCTTATCTGGGGTGAGGAGCTTGAGTTTTATTCTAACTCAGATGCAAAGCCATTGGAGGGCTTTAAGCAATCAGGTAGGCTGAATAATGACCCCTCCAAAGATGTCCATGTCCTAATTCCTGGAACTTTTGAATATCTTACCGTAAATGGCAGGAGGGGCTTTGTAGATGCCATCAAGTCAAGGATCTTGAGATGCAGAGATTATCCTGAATTATCTAGATGTGCCCACTGTAATTACAAGGGTCCTTATAAGAGGTAGACAGGAGGGTCAGAGAGAAAAGAGATGTGATGATGGAAGCAGAGACTACACTGATGCGTTCTGAAGAAGGAGGAAGGGGCCACAAGCCAAGGACTACAGGCAGCCACTAGAAACTGAAAGAGGCAAGGAATGGATTTCCCCTTAGAGCTTCCAGAAGGAACCAGCCCTGCCATCACCTTCATCTTAGCCCCTTATGATTCTTTTTTTTTTTTTTGGAGGAAGATTAGCCCTGAGCTAACATCTGCCGCCAATCCTCCTCTTTTTGCTGAGGAAGACTGGCCCTGAGCTAACGTCTGTGCCCATCTTCCTCTACTTTATATGTGGGACGCCTACCACAGCATGGCTTGACAAGCGGTGCCATGTCCACACCCAGGATCCGACCCAGCGAACCCTGGCCTCCGATGCGGAACATGTGAACTTAACTGCTGCACCACCGGGCTGGCCCTCATTTTTGACTTCTGACCGCAAGAACTATAAGAGAATAAATTTGTATTGTTTTAAGCCACTGAATTTGTGGTAATTTGTTACAGCAGCAATGGGAAACTAATATAACCAGAGAAGGGACAGGATCTGATTTATGTTTTAGAAGAAAGGATTTTTCTGGTTGCTGATACAGAATGGCTTTAGGAGGATCATGAGAGAAGCGGAAACACCAAGGAGCAGGTTACTGTAGACCTCTGGGAGAGCAATGATGGCAGCCTGGATAAGACGGAAGAAGTGACGCTGGAAAGAAGGGCTCAGATTTTAAGAAAACGTTAAGGGCTATAGTCAACTGGGTTTTCTGATGGGTTAGATGTGGTGGTAGAAGGGCACAGTGAAGGAAAGCAAGGACTCATCAGCACCCCACTTTCCCCACCTTCCTAGGGCCTCACAGACCCACACTGCACTTGACAAGCTGCTCCTGGGATGCTGGGCATTTTCATGTGATTAGGCTGGAACAGTTCTTTGGGAAATAAATGCCCTCAGTCTAAAAGACTTTTTTACAAGCCAGGGCAGGGGATTAAAGGCAGCTGGGCTGAGGAGAAATCCCAGGGTCAGGAGACAGCTGAGCATGGAGACTTCTAATCTAAACCTTAAACGTTTTTATTTTTCACTCCCTGAACTCAGGGTGTCACTTTAAATACATGTTTGGCAACATCGGCTGTTCTATTTTTCTTTTTAATTATACAAAGAGAGATCCTGGAAACGGCTCAGCCCCGGGCTGGGAGAGGCAAGGGAAATTGGCAGCAGTTGCAGGCAGAGGCACCAACGAAAAATCGAGTGGATTTGAAACCCTCTTGAAGGAGCGTGAAGACTGAACTCCCAGCTACCCTGAACTTGGTTCGGTCAGCCCTGACTCAGGATTTCTAAAAGGAGACTGACAGAGTCACCAGCTTAGAACGGAGAGAGGACAGATGGGCACGTCTGCGAGATAAAAATATCACTAGCACCAGCACTGCTCCTGCACCTTGAGTTCATTCCCAGGCTCTGTCTTCCCTCCTCTGAGAAGAAAACAGCTAACCAGATCGTTCATTCACATTTACAGGGTATTCCCTGCTACAGCCAGGCACTGGGTTAAACTGCTTACATGTGTCATCTTGTTTTATGCACTCAAC